AGGGGCCGGGCGCGGTGGGCTCAAGCCTGTAATCCCAGCACCTTTGGACGGGCCGAGGCGGCACGGGTGGCAGCTCATTTGGTGTTCCTATGATGGCTGCAAGCTCTAGACATCATGTTTCCTCACTATCATATTCAGGTAGAAAAAGCCTGTTAGATAAGTGCTTTCTTCTTGTCAGTGAGGTAAGTCTTTCCCAGATGGCCTCAGCAGATTCCCCTCATATGCTGGCTACTCCTAGTTGCAAGAGAGGCTGTGAAAGAGAAAATGTGACAACGGGGTACTATCTTCTAGTACGTAGAGAAGTAAATAGGCATGGGAATGGCTTTTTGCCATGTGCAGCTAATTGTATTTGTTACAGCTGATGATCAGAATCACCTGAGGAGTTGGAAAAAAAAATCCTGGGCTCAATTCCAGACCAAACGAACCACAACATCCCAGGAATAAGAATTTTCTTAAAAGCTCCTCATATAAGTTTTATGATCAGAGCTTTGGAACTTCTATAATAAAGCACTGTAATATTTCAGAATATGTGAACGCAGTCTTGATATCCTCCTGCCAGATATCAAGGTGCAGCAAATCAATGCACTACATTAAAATGATTCATTTCATTAGAACAAAACAAAGCCTTCATCTTATTTCTGTATGTTGAGTTATGATACAAACAGCTTTTGGACTAGAAGGGTTCATTCCTAAAAATATATGCAAAGGAACCAAATATAATAAAGTCTGCTTAAAAAACAAAATCTTTCTTAGCACTAAGGAATGAAATGCAGCCATTAAATATATGTCACTAGGTGATGCTCTTTGTTAAATTTTTTTCCTGGTGAAGTCATCTGAGGAATTAGCATTCATTCACATGGGAAAGAATTTATGGTAACTGTAATAAGACTTTAATTGACTCCTTAATCACAAAAGTTAAATAGTCCAGAAAATAAGTTTATATGCAAAAAAGGAAAGCCACACAAATTTATGGGCAGAACATTTTTCTTTCTTTTTCTTTTAGACAGAGTTTCATTCTTGTTCCCCAGCCTGGAGTGCAATGGCACCATCTCGGCTCACCACAACCTCCGCCTCCTGGGTTCAAGTGATTCTCCTGCCTCAGCCTCTGGACTAGCTGGGATTACAGGGATGTGCCACCCACGCCCGGCTCATTTTGTATTTTTAGTAGAGACGGGGTTTTTCCATGTTGGTCAGGCTGGTCTCGAACTCCCGACCTCAGGTGATCCACCCACCTTGGCCTCCAAAAGTGCTGAGATTACAGGCGTGAGCCACCGCACCCGGCGGGACAGACTATTTCTATCAGTTGGGCTATATGTTTAGAATACTGAGACTTTCAAATTGTGAAGACAGTATTTCTATCCATTTTTGTCTCCCCTTTCTTTTTTTTTTGTGACAGAGTCTTGCTCTTGTCACCCAGGCTGGAGTGCAATGGTGAGATCTCAGCTCACTGCAACCTTTGCTTATTGGGTTCAAGCGATTCTCCTGCCTCAGCCTCCCGAGTAGCTGGGATTGCAGGCACCTGCTGCCACGCCTGACTAGTTTTTGTATTTTTAGTAGACATGGGGTTTCACCATGTTGGGAAGGTTGGTCTCAAACTCCTGACCTCAGATGATCTGCCTGCATTGGCCTCCCAAAGTGCTGGGATTACAGGCATGAGCCAACTCACCCAGCCTCCACTTTCTTTAATGTCTTGATAAGATTTTATATTTTTGTTGACAGAGTTCTTGAATATTTTTTGATGTATTCCCAGGTAATATTTTCTGATGTCACTGAAACGTTATCTACGTCTGCACTTTTTTTTTGCTGAAATATTTTTAAGTAAATTAGTATTACATCCTTAAGTATTTCAGTATGGTTTTCTAAAATAACATTCCACTTAAATTATTCCCTAATATCATCTATTATCAAAAGTGAAATAGCCAATAAACACAAAAAGGGGCTCAAGCTTATTTGTAACTAGAAATACAAATTATTAAGACAAAAAAGTCTGATACCAAGTGTTAGAAAGGATGCAGAGCACTGAAATTCTAATCCATTGCTACGAACAAGGGGATAAAATCTCTCTGGAGAAGTTTTGTTTTACATAGTAAAAATGAAGATGCATAGACCCGATTCCCTCTACCACTGCTAGATATATATCTAACAGAAAGGCACAGGTCTACCAAGAGACACATTTAACAATGTTCATGCTAGTATGTTGTAACAGGAAAATTTTGAGATAACTCAAATGTCTCTCAACATGAGAAAAAACAAACTATGGGCCAGATGCAGAGGCTCATGCTTGTAATCCCAGCACTTTGGGAGGCCAAGGCAGGTGGATCACTTAAGGCCAGGAATTCAAGACCACCTGGCCAACATGGTGAAACCTTGTGCAAAATTAGCCAGGCATGGTGGTGCAGGCCTGCAGTCCCTGCTACTTGGGAGGCTAAGGCAGGAGAATCTCTTGAACCTGGGAGGCGGAGGCTGCAGTGAGTCGAGATCATGCCACTGCATTCTACCTGGGAAACAGAGCGAGATTCCGTCTCAAAAAAAAAGAAAAAAAAAAGTAAAATAAAAAATAAAATATATGGATGTGTGGTGGCTCACGCCTGTAATCCCAGCACTTTGGAGGCCAAGGCAGGTGGATCACCTGAGGTCAGGAGTTCAAGACCAGCCTGGCCAACATGGTGAAACTCTGTCTCTATTAGGAATACAAAAATCAGCTGGGCGTGGGGTGGGCCACCTTGTAATTCCAGCTACTTGGGAAGCTGAGGCAGGAAAATCGCTTGAACCCAGGAGGTGGAGGTGTAGTGAGCCAAAGATCACGCCATTGCACTTCAGCCTGTCGCGACAAGAGCAAAACTCTTATCTCAAAAAAAAAACTTAATAAATAAATAAAATTTTAAAAAATAAAAAAATATATAATAAAAAATTAAAAGCAGAAAAGAATTAAAAAAAAAAAAAACAGACCAAGCTAATTATATTGTTATAGAGTACAACATGGATAGTAAAAAAATATAAGACAATAATGATCAAAATTCAGAAGAATAGTACCAACTTTGGGAGAAAGATGAACCTTTGCTGAGGGAGAGGCTTGCTGGGGTATCCTGATGCTGGCAGTTTCCTCACCAGGTGTGTAAATGCATGAACTTTCCTCATAATTACTTATTACAAAAAGAATGCATAAATTTATTATAAAGTGTATTTATATAATGCACTTTTCTGTTGTACATTTCACAAGAGAAAAAAGATTCAAATGTGATGAGATACATAAAATACAAAGAAGAGGGCCGGAGTGGTGGCTCACCTGTAATCCCAGCACTTTGGGAGGCGAGGGAGCGGATCATAAGGTCAGGAATCGAGACCATCCTGGCTAACATGGTGAGAACCCCGTCTCTACTAAAAATATAAAAAATAGGCCGGTGTGGTGGCGGGCGCCTGTAGTCCCAGCTACTCGGGGGGCTGAGGCAGGAGAATCGGTGAGCCGGGAGGCAGAGCTTGCAGTGAACTGAGATCCGGCGCCATTACACATCAGCCTGGGCAACAGTGAGACTCCGTCTCAAAAAAAAAAAAAAAAAAAAAAAAATTACAAAGAGGAGTTGCTATATGCTTGTTAAACATTATTTTGAAAAAAACTGCTTTTGCTTTGTAACACTTAAACATAATGTGACGGGCTTTTGTATGATCATTTATTTGAGATCATTTATCAAAAGGCACTTACTAGGACCAATTTTTGAGGCAATATAAGTCATCTTATTTTACATGAGCTAGTTCTTATACAACCATCAATTCTGAATCTTGTTTAGTTTGGTATTAAGTAATATACACAAATTTACATTGTTCGTGTATGAAATTTGTCCTATTTTCATAGCTTTTTCTGATTTCCGTCATTAGGATTTGACAGGTATCTTTTGGAAAATACTAAAGCCAAAGCGGGTCAGATTTCACCATTCTAAATT